GGGGGGGGGGGGGGGGGAAGTGAGGGGTGCGCAGCAGCTGGATCCCATCATTTGGCCCATAAGCATTACTGGAAGCAACAAAAAGTTCTCCTTTCCTACCAGTGTGCTGTGCCTGCTCCTTTAAGGACAGGTCCTGCTACTAGGAACTGCAACTTACCTTCTCACTGACAGGCCCCAATTGTTCCAATTGCTCCTGGAATTCAGAGAGTTTCTGCTCCTCAGATTCTCTTGAGTGTTTTAGAGTAAGGAGCTGAAATAAATCAAAACCAATTAAGTTTGTCATCCCTTTTCCCTGTTTCAGCCAGTCCCAGACCTTTCCCTGCTTCAGAAGAATCAGTAATGGTCAGCACAGTAGTCCAAGCAATAGCTACAGAATTTTTTTTACTAGCCAATTTTGGTCTGAAGTTGGCATGTCCCCTTTGCTGTGCAGAAAGCCTGCTAATTTGATGACAACCCTCTACCTAAAAACCCAACCAACCTGGTGCAAGAGGAGCCAAGTCCACAGAAATCCTGCAGCCAGAGACAACTGCAACTCTTCTGAGGAGTAGGAAATCGAAAGAATGAAGCACCCAGAGCTGGTAAGAGATTGTTTCATGATTCCCCAAAACACCATTCACACCAACACCACTGAGGAATGTGGTGGAGCAAGAAGTGCATGTACCAGCTGTTTTTCTTCTTGCTGTGTTTCATTAGTAAGGGATGAAAGTTTACCTTTTCTTCCAGCTGGATGACCTTCTGCTGTTGAGAGTCTCTCTGTTCACACACCTCTTGATATTGTCGTAAGTGCTGCTCCTTGGCAGAGGCCAGCATGCGCTCACACTTGGCTTCCCACTGGGACTCCAGCTCCGTCTGGACAAGTGACAACTACCCATGGAGGAAGAGACACTTGATGCTTACAGCCACACCCAAAAGCAGAGGATATTGTGGGATGGGAAAACACTTGCATCTGTGTCTATCATTCCAGAGTTGGTACTTCAAATCCTGCAGTATTTTCCCCTACCCACCTTCCCTATGCAAAGCACAGTTTCAGCATCCATGTTCTCCAGGGCTGTTCTGCATATCTGGCTCACATCTCAGCCCCTGGCCTCACCATTTTCCTGTGGCTATGTGAAGGAGCCCCACTCACCTTTTACCTCTACCAAGAGGCAGAATATTGGTCAACTATCTTATTTCCCACTGACTTTTTAAATGGGCCACCAATTTTCACCACTCCCCTGGCTGTGGTAAAGATGGGAGACTCCTCTTAGCTTACTTCCAGAAGCATAAGTATTCTTTGATCAGTGTCACTTGGTCTGTCAGGCCAAGCAGAGGAAATTTTGCTACCATGAGAACATAGGTTGCTTCCATTTTCCTACAGCCACACAAGAACCTGCTGCAGATCACAACCTACTGGTTGTAGTCAAATGCCTTCTTTTATGACTGCCTGGGTCACTTTTTTTTCTTATTGGACTCAACAGGAAGACTCCTGGAGCTGAAGGCAGAGCCCACAGACTAACAACATAGTTTAAAGGATATGCAAAGGGGAGGCATTGGATACTATGTGCTAGGTTATATTAGCCTCGTTAAAAGTAAAACAGGAAGTGATTTATTTTACCCACTGAATAAATGAAGCATTCATGTTAATCTCTGATCTAGAGTCAACTGAGCTTGAGTTACAAGTCATGTAAACTTATCTGCTAGAGAGTACCTTCCTCACCTGCTCTGCTGCTGCTTGGTCAGTTGATGTCCGAGCCTTTTTCAGGAGCTGCCGAAGCTTGTCCAGTTCTTCCTGGTAGGATTTACGGATCTCATCCATCTCTTCCTCTGCTTGGCCTCTCTCCAGAAGGGATTTCTTTTTCCTCTCTGCAAGGTTCTGGAGCATACAGCATGGTATGTAAGGCAATGTAAGGCTGTTCTCTCCTTGGGCTCTGTATTTGCTACAGTGGGGGATTCTCACCAATGTAAATAAAATCTAGATACTAACTATCTTGTTGCTTAACTATTATATACTACCATTAATATATCAGGTGCTTTAAAACCCTGGAGACCTGTTCTCTAATCCAACAATCCATGCTATAGTTGGCAGGTAGGGTGAATTCTAACATGGCAACTCCGTCTCAAGTGTCTGCTGTGGCAAAAAGCCACCTTGGTTTCTCCCCAAAAATCTCTGCCCTGTGACACTGTGATTTAAATCTCTGTGCTGCGACCATTCAATTAGGATGGGCCCAGCACACAGGGGACCACACCCTCAGCCTGTCTCTTTAGGGAACTGGAGCTGGCTGCATTCCTGAGGGAGGGGGAAACCTGCTCCCTCTGCCTACGTGACTTGCATCACTTACCTGGGTAAGGGGTTTCTACCTGGGGAGCTGGAATCTGCCCGGTAACAGGTGATGCATTTCAGATTGGTTGGCTGACAGCCAACTGGGGCTGACCTCCGCTGGCCCAGGTGAATGAGGTCACAGGGGCTATATAAGTTAGGACGGGGAAGGAGGCGGTCTCTCCTCTCCGGCCATGAGGTGACGCAGCAGCCAGGCAGGGGACAGAGAAGCCTTAACATCTGAAACTGGCTCTCTCCCCCCAAACTCACGAGCTAGGAACCGCCTGCCTCCAAAGGGAAACTTCACCTGCCTTTGGAAGATGCTTGTGAGTAAGCTACTCAATCTGATTAGATATTTAGCTGGAAGTATCACAGATGCGTAATCAAAAGGCTACCACAGCCAGACTGTTTGCTCTTTAGGATTTCTAGATACTGCTCAATCCTGTACCTTAGTTTACCCTACCCCCTGTAATCAATAAAGTTCTCCTTTTTGACTGGTGTGGGAGACTTATTGAGGGGTGGGTCTAAATTATGCCTAAGAGACCCCCTTAGGTCTGCAGACTAAGGGAGACTTTCCTTTTTGCCCCCGGACTTGAGGAAGTACCCCAAGTGCCTGTATTGGGTCGAGTACCTGTAGGACTATTAGGCCTGTGTTTCCCCGAGGATACAGGGCCGAGACAGTCCACTCTCGGGGTGGTGGAGGCACGTTACCCCCAGACTAGCCCCTAGGGAGGCATTCGGAGCCTGGAAGGTGGGCGGGCGCAGGGAGGTGGGCGGCTTGACACAGGAGCGCCCCATACTGGCCCGCCTCACGTGGTGGAAACAGCGGAGGGATATGAATACCCAGCTGTGTTCCTGAGGTGGGATTCTCTGCACCTGCCACACCTGCATCAAGAACACTGGATTAGTTTCCAGCAGCCATATGGAATGCTGCATCACCTCCAACAGGCTGGTACCTGGGACATACCTTTTCCAAATTCTCCTTTTCTACTTTCAGGTCTGCTAGCTCTTCCTCCAGCACTGTAACTTTCATCTCCAGCTGCCTACGGCTCTGCCTCTCCACCTTGAATTTAGTTTGAGTGTCTTCAGAAATTTCTTGGAGTTCTGCAAACAACACATACTATTTTGGTTTCAGCACTATATTTCAGGGTTAATACATCTGAGGAAAAAAGCTTACAGCATACAGCCAGATTAGAAAACAAAAGGATTTGGTGGCTGCAGAGGGAAAACAGAACCTGCTAAACCTCTTGTATGGGGGTAACCCCAATTTCTTTAAGTGGGATTACTGGATCTCCATATTGTTTTCAAATCTAAAACATTCTTACCACCAGTGAATGCACCAATACAATTACAAAGGTTTAGTCACATCTCAACAAGGGTTAGAAAGCATCAGCTCTCCACACATTCTTTTCCTGGGCTCGCTTCTTGGGCTAGCTTCTCAGAAGGTCTTACTGACCACCTTGCGATAGATGGCTCATATATAGAGTCAAACTTATATTTTACTGAGACTCCCAAGAGGCATAACTATCTTTGTGCAGCATTCCTTGGGCCGGAACCTGAGGAAAAAAAAGAGCCAGATAGCTACCCCAGAAAGAGTTAAATATGTAGAGCTCACACAAAGGGAACAGCAAGACAAAAAGAAATGCAGCTCAAATGAAATCATGCACACTGCAGTTCAGTGCTCCTTGCCCCAAAAGGAGGGGGAAGAAACTGAACATGAATTTTCTAGAGCTGGTCAACTCTTTTCTCAGCCCACTGCCCTCATATAATTTCAACTTCAATAGTCTTTCAGTTAGAAACAGGGCACTCTCTTACAAGTTTTCTTCATGGTACATTTCTAGGTCTTTCATGGAAGTGCTTGTGGTCCTGAATTCAGATGGTATGCACCCATTAGCTGTGCAGATACTGCAAAGTGCATTAGCTTGTTTACAGCAGTATTTGTAAAGTAAAAGTATAACTCTTCAGCTAGGATGGAGAGAAAGTGTTCAAACCGGCCAAGTTAAATGACCCAGAAAAAAACAGATTTAGTTTCTGTGATTAGCTACTTAGTGACTGTTAAATAAAAATTACCATGTGACCCAAACCTGTATCTGTGTACAAAGGACTACAATCTGATGCAATTTACTACAGCAGAACCAAACAAGTTACAAAACAGATTCTTACTGGACTTGGATAGCTGCTGTCCTATAATTAGCCCCTTGCTGATTAACACAAGGGACATGGGTATTCTCCAATAATCTGAGCAAGGCTCCCAACCTGTGGAAATCAGGATGTCTCCCAATTTATATGAAGATCACCAGTAAAAATTAAAAAAATTTTTCTAGGCATCATAAACATGAAAACCTCAAGCATGTGATTTACTAAATATCCTGATACTGTAAAAATATTTGGGCACTGAATAAGGACGAGCAATGCCTCATGTAGTTAAGTGGAAGACACCTGGGAGTTAGCTGTTTTAAGGAGCAGTTTCTGGCCAAGAAAGGGCGATTCAGAACTTTTGCTCAAAGCTACTCTAATCCTGCCACCTTGATGCCAGAACAGGATTTGAACATTGGCTTGTGCACCTCTATTTTTTTGTTGCTAGTTTTCAAACGTACTTTCTGCCAGGGAGCCTACCGAAGCCAAAGCAATCAGAAGTCACCCTAAGGGCTAACAAGGACAGGAGGGGGTGTGTATCTAACTCCCAAAAGCTGCCAAGAATGAACATTTCATCTAAATGCAATACATACAGCCAGAACATTGTGTGTAGTTCTAGGATGGAACACTACCAATCCCTGAAGCATATCTTTAGATCCTTTGAGATAAGTGGTATATAAAGTTCAAGCTGTCTTTGCTGAAGCGTAGTCGCATGACCAACGTTCTGGTCTTCAGCATTCTTTGGGAGAGCCCACCACACTCAATGGATAAAACTTTAAAAAAAATCAAGCCCTATGCCTTTTGGTGTACCTATTTAAATCTGTCTTAGCTCTGAAACCAAGAGTTTACATCTGGTAGGCTGAATGTTGCATAAGCAGGTACCCTTTGAGGCCACCCTAATGAGTCCATGGATTGGCATGCAGCAGGAAGGCTAAGAACTGATTTGCCCATACAGCCAGAACTCCATCTCTCAGCTTGGGACTGAAGGAGCCAAACGGGGAGCTATGTCATAGTAAATGCCTGGTCATATTTAGCAATGAAACCCACAGCCACTGAAGTAGTTATCGGTCACCCACCACCCACACAGTTAATCCTCAAACAGAAAACAAGGCTGTTACCTAAGCAATAAAACCAACCTCCCCAAGTCCTTACCAGCTAGCTGTGCTTGCAGTTTGTTGAGCTGCACCTCATGTCTCTCTGCTTCCTGCAGGGCTGAGGTCAGCTGGCTGCGCAGATCCATTTCCTTCTTTTGGTGAGCTGTCAGTTCCAACTGAAGACGGGAGACCTGTGCTGTGGCAGCAGCCAACTCCTCTGCAATTTTGGCCTGTAGCACAGAACCAGGGAGGGAGGCAAAGAAAAGAGCATATTAAGTACTTGGAGTGCCTTTAGTAGTGTCTGAGAAGTTTGCTCATAGTGCACAGCTAATAAGGTGCAAATGCCCACAATCATGCCTAGTTTGCATGAACTAGGTGGCAGGACCGCATTGCCATTAGAAATGGAACATTCACCAAATTATAGGCTCAATAATGAAATGTTGCACATTGATCCAATGTCCACAAGCTACTCCATACTAGCATTAGGAAAGACCTTGTGCCATCCTTTAGAACTTTGTGGACCCTATTTGAACACATCCCCCCTGACTGTAGAGGATTCCCTATTTTAAGAGGGCTACCCAAAGCTGGCAAAGCCTCATCATCAAATCAGGTTGAGAGAAATCACTTAGGGAAGTTATTTTCCATAGAAATTTTACATTCACAAACTACTGAGGTACTTTCCCCTAGGTGACTGCTTTTCAGGCTTGCTGCTGGTCAGTATCAGCTAAAAATGTGACTGCTCACATTAAACCTATGAAAAATAGCCCCTTTTGCCTAGGTATACACAGTTTCCTAAAGGACACAGATTAGGCGCCAGGGTAGTAAGCTTACAACTTCGCAGTTCAGTCTATTCTAAAAAACCCAAAAAACAAACACCTGGCCTTCCTGGTTTATTACACAGGTGAAAGAGAAGAGATGAGGCTCACACGGAGATAAAACCGTTTGGGATGGGCAGTTATCAGACAGATTATTTTCTTTAGAGATAACTTTCTTCTACTATCAGCCCTTGTAACATTAACGCTGAATGCGTGCTTCACTTCCTTGTGGACACTACACCATGCGAAGATACTCCTTGCACAGTGCCTGCAATATTGTATGCCCCTGACAGATTACTGTCAAGTTCTTACATTTGGATGCTAACCAAGACAGTGACTCTCAGAAAAAGATAGATACTAGTAAGGTTGTTGAAGAACTTGTTAAATCACGCATTACATGGGCTCAAATCAAAAGAAGAGAGATATTAATTCCAGCTCCAACTCTTGTGAAGCAGGGCCAAAATTCATAAAGGATATACTGCAGAGACAGACTGCCTGCCTCCAGAAGCCTTACTTATAGTAGGCCCCTATGTTATTCTCTTCAGTGCAGGGACAGTACTTTTTGGCAGGGGAAGAAATGGGAGTTAAATGGGTGCTGGCTCCTACCCTGGGAGTCTTTAAGAGGAAGCTTGATGCCTACCTAGCTGGGATCATTTGAGCCCAGCTTTTTCTCCTGCCCTGGCAGGGGGTCGGACTTGAAGATCTATAAGGTCTCTTCCGGCCCTACTTCTGTGATTCTATGAAATCATTTTAGCCATTTGAATAGTGAAAGGATGGAGACTGGCTCATTTGGGGAGCTTAAATACAACAGCCCAAAGCATTGTTTCAAAATAGGAAAGTTTCACAGAAGTAAGTCTGCTTTCCTGCTGTTTTTTGGAAGTTGGTAAGAGGCAGCCTTTTTTCTTCATAGTTTCACATGAAAAATTTAACCACATACAGTAATGTTCTGTTTAACACACAATTCAATTCTCAGTGCAGGGAATTCAACTTTGCCCATATAGGTTTATTTCTGCCCTTAGGGACCGAGTTTTGCTTTTGTTTTTCCTTATTACATGAACATACATTCTGCCACTTGGGGGTGGAAATGATTCTGGCTGCTACATAACCAAGATGCATCTTAGAAATCCTCTCAGAAGTAAAGAATCACAGTGATGTCACTCCGAAGTACAAAACTGTCTTCCAAGTCTAAAAGCAGAAATTCAAGAAAAGCAATTTTATGAAATACCTATGAGTAACTATCTAGCCCACAAGACAGCTGGGCTAAAACTGCTTGGGACAAATGACCTGTAGACTATGGGAAAGAAACCCCAATCATCTAGACAGTCAGTGGACACTCTGCCTCACCTGGTCCCAGCCCCGATCCACTGGCAGCATGTGCTGGGAAGAGAAAGCAGTGAGTGGAAACGAGAAGGGTTGAGAACACAAAATAGAATAGCAAAAGCATTAATCACTATTAGAACAGCTACGTACTGCATTATAGGAACCCATGATGTTACAGGAGAAGCATTTAATTCATTTCCTGCAAGCTGCAGAAGCCTGAAGACAAAACAATAGTGAAGCCATTTTCAAAAAGCAAGACACTAAGCCCTTTCCAATGCGGCTCTATTTCATGCAATACGGTCCAATGAAATCAGCAGACTGGAAGCCAATAATGCCCACACTCTCTACTGCCATTGTTATCACTACACTGTTATGAGAAGAAGGAGTATCACCCACTATGAAGCATGGTAAGGTTTAATTAAAAGCTACGACATGCTCAGTAGGGCCAGGTAGAACTGTATTACTCAAGAAGTTACACATATACTGCTCCTCAGTGACTGTGCAGAGACCTGGGTCATACCAGAAGAGAGGGGCCTATTACCAATTTATATACAAAGAGAGCAGAGAATCTGCGTGTTCTACAATTGTCTCCTCTAGTCCTATTATTCAAACCTTCTCTTGGAAATCTTTCTCCACTGCAAAAACTGAGATAAGTGTACCAGAGCAAACCAAAGATAGAAGAATACAAAAAAGTGAAGGGAAGCCAGAGCTTCCACCAATACAGCTGGCTAGTCCTTGAAATCAGAGAGCTCATCCAGTGCAAATCACAACTCCACTAGGAGGTGCTGATCATCAGTTACTGCATCAGGCAGAGCTTCAATAAAGGCGAGACCAAGGATGGATCCCCTGAAGAAGGTCTCTAACTTTTTTTTTTAAAGTTACTGATGACCTCAATCTGTGAATGGTACCTGGTTGGAGCATCTTTCTGATTCTGTATGCTTTATTAGTTCTTGTTTGACCTGGTCTGTTGCTTGAGAAACCATCCCAGGATAGCACCCTTTAAACTTCAGGTAAAAATTTATCATAGCTTAAAAACAGCTAAAAGGTATCCACCTCTTATGAATGCTCCAAGTCATTGTCAGAGGCAGGAGGAAAATGCATTATGATTAAGCTTCATGTTTGGGAGTGCACAACAAGGGATTGAAAAATCAGAGTTAGTCTGGTATAATTTTAAATTTAAAAATGTAAGTAGAAAAGATCATGAGATCACTCTCCACACACACTCTCCAAAAGTAGTATACCAGAATGAGCTAGGACCTTACATTTGCTTCTTTATAGGCCAGAAAAAGAACACAGGTTCATTTATCTGGCTTTGAAGTTCTTAATGGTCTTTTCTATGCCACTGCTATTAGAAGTGATTGATATTTACCTTCTACAAAGATACTACTATTTCTCCATTACATTTCAGTAGCTGCTATTAAGATCTCTCGAGGGTAAACCATTCTGCTGACACAGACTAGATTACATGAATGCTTAGCCAAACCCAAGCTTTTTAAGTAGAAAGCAGCTTCTCAAGTAATCACAGTACAATGAAGTAGTCAAGGCCCTGCTAATGTAAAGTACCTTTTACCCCAATTTAAAAGAGTTCCTAAACTATGACAGCATTAAGCCCTACAGAAAATGCAATGCAAATGATGTAGTAATGGGGTCCCTATATACAGGATTACAGCAAACCTACTGGTAACAGTTTTTTTTAAATTTGCTCTCCCAAAGGCATTTCTGATTTTCTGCTGATTACATCAGGGATCACCTGCTACTTGTGCACCAGATGTACTTGAAAGCCCTCTTTACAGCCACAGTCAAAGTTCTACACTTCTGCTCACTGCCTGGCTAGTTTTACCTTCTCCTGTTCTGCATGCAACACTCTTGCCTGTGTGTTCTCATTTGTTGTTTGCAGTGAGCTGTTTCTTTTTTCCATCAGCAGGTTGCTCTGTTCAACACACCTGGAAGAGAAGGCGAAATGAGTGCCATGAGCACATACACAAGAAGAGGATTTGAAATGAAAGCCCCTGACACAGGAAAGGTGATATTACAAAGCCTCCTCCTCACAAGAGTAAGTTCCAGAATAATTTTGTGTTCCACTATTCTCTCTCCTGCCCAGGGCAGGGGGTTGGACTTGAGTCCCTTCCAACTCTGTATCTATGAAATGTCTTAAATACAAATGCATCTGGGCTTTGGAAGGAGTATGATGAATCTGCAGTTAGGGACAGATGAGCTCATTTAGGACATCTACTCCATCGTTCCCCATTGCAGCAGTGTTCCTGAAGCACAATCAGATGTTTGACAGCCCAAGTAATAAAGCTTTCACTGCCTTCCTTGGGAGACTATCCTTCTCTGAATGCCCTTGATGGGATTTGCATGAACACTGATGGTACCTACTCCAGTCGAGTGGAAGAGGTTACAGAAGGATGGACAAGAGCATTACGTATTGGAGGACCTTCCTTTCAGTTAAGTCAACAGCAGATGTGCCATTCAGCAACCAGGTCTTTTGGTCTGAGGTCTACAGCTAGGGGTCTACTGAAGGCAAAGCAGCTGCCCACTGACTTGCTGCAAGGGGGCATCTGGCACACAGCCCACTCCCCATCTCCTCCCAGTAGACTGCACAGCTGGACACAGTGACCACAAGGGCTGCTGGCTTCCTAGAGGGAGCCAACATTTTATTTTCAGTGAGTTTTTTCTCCTCCCCCACGGAGCCCACCAAAAGCACAATTTTGATAGGTCCACCTATAGTGGACAATAGCCTTATCTTTCCTACAGCTCACCTCTGATTCCGTTCAATCAGTTCACTGATCTTCTCGTTCTGCTCCTCAATCCGGCTGCTCTTCTCAAATATCTCCTGCTTCAACCTCTCATTTTCCTAAAAATGCAACAGCGTTGAGAGGGCCATTTTATTTGGAATGTCCTAGAGAATGCTGCCTATAGCTGGCTTCTTCATTATCAGAATAAATTAGAAATAATGGTTGTTTGGAAGAGCTGGCAAGGTTAGCCTAGAACAAAAACTACCCTCACCTGAATGATGCGCTGGATATTGCTCATGATCATGGAAGTTTCCATAGTAACTGAGGAAATGCTGGGCAGCAGCAAATTGTTGCCAGTGTTTTGTTTCTGGAACTCCTCCACCTGCGGATAAGTCATTAAAACCATACTTTAGTGGAGTATTCAGCAGTGGAATAGTCATATGTCTCTATACAAGGAACCATTTCAGCCAACTAATTGGTTCCACACAATGACTTGGAGCGACCATAGAATATGCATGAAGAGCTGCAATGCAAAGCACTATACGAAGGTTAAGATAAAAGAGCTTTTTCTCCACAAATTATCCTGAAATAACATACCTTTTTATAGCAGTCCAATCATTCTGAAGTAGTTAGCTATAATGGTGGAATTTTCACTAAAGTTACCATATCATTCACAAGCCAAATGCAGCACCTTAAAACGCTTCATCAGAGGATTTCCGAGACTGTGCATGGTGGGAGAGCAAGCAGCATCATCTCTCCCCTTTACATCAGGTCTCTTTACCTTGGCAGCTAGATGATCCATTTTATCAGCTACTTTGCTAACAGCCATTCTGATCTCAGTGTTTTGCTGTCGAGCTTCTGTCATTAAAAAGGAAGTAATGTCTCCAGATGCTAGAATGGAAAGGGGAGAGATTATCAGTTAAGGGTGGCAAAAAAACTCCAAACACACAAACAAAAGGATCAGCAGTTCAAAACCTGCTGCCTGCAATGGGGAATTTCTTCCTAAAAGCCAGAGATTAAGGTAATTGGGAAGGCAGAAGCTATGCTAATTGCTTTGACTGGCAGAGGTCAGGTCTATAGCTGCAAGAAACTAATGGGCTCAATTACACAGAAAGGAGAAATCCCACTTGGTTACATCTTTAACATCTATAGATCAGGACAGTAGTTAAATTTCAGCCATTGCAAGATAACCAAGGCAGTAAAGTAATTTTAAATTATACTGAAGGCCAACTAGCTATGTATGCACTTTGGAATAAGCCTAAAGAAGTTTTTTCTGCACTTATTCCAATTTCTTTTGCTAGACTTCTTCAGGGTTTGGGGGGGGAAAAACGTATACACTCAGGAACATGCTCCGACATTAAAAAGAAAATAGCATGAAAATAATAAGTACTCTAGACAGGACAGCTATATGGCTGCTTCGAATCTTGTGCAGATACTCACTACACAACTGTCTGCAACATACCAGTCAAGGCATTAGTTTTCATACAGTGCAGGCATATTTTCTTGACCTACCTTGGAAAGGTGCTGGATACATCTGTCCTACAGGCTGGAGTTGAGAAGCAGCTGCAGCAGTTTGCTGATAGGTAAATGGCATTCCTGCATATGGCTAAGGAAAGTCAAGAGTGAACAGATGTCACTTGACATTGTCTCTCTCAAGGAGTTTCATGCACTTATTTATCATGTCAAGCAAAGTGGGAAGGAAAGAGAAGCTCACTGCAGAGGGCAGAGTCTTGGGACCCATCTTGAATAACTGTGGCTGCTAAGAGAAAAAAGTATCAAGTCCACCCTCTTCTGTCTTATTTAGTTCTGAACAATACAACAAGCAGAAGCCACGTCACAGGAAAAAGTTAAATGATCTGAACAATTTGGTGTCAAATTCTGTTAACTCTATTTATTTTTTATTCCTGGTTATCAGGAATTGACCGTTTCATTCATTTGAAGAATGCTCCTAGAGGGAAGCCTATGTATACATGAGAACTGGGCAGAGTCCTCCTCATAGGAAGGTATACCAGGGGCCTTGTCTAGGCTAGTGCATAGTCTAGAACAGAGGCAGGCAATTATTTTGGGCAGAGGGCTGCTTACTGAGTTTTGGCAAGCTATCGAGGGCCACATGACTGGCAGCCCAGGGCAGATAAATATTAATTTTCTAAATTTTTTAGGGTTCTTGTGGGCCAGATAGAATGGCCTGGCAGGCTGCATCAGGCCCATGGGCTGCATTTTGCCCACCCCTGGTCTAGAAGCAGGGGCAGGTAAAATCTAGCCCCTGGGCTGGATCTGGCTGACAGTGGACTCCAATTCTCAGCAGCCCCTGCCCACATGGCTGGGGCCAGTCTCCATGGAGACCCAGCCACAGCTGTGCTGTGATAGCATGAAGCTGGTGTTGTCATAGAGACCGGCCCCAGCCATGCTGGCAGGGCAGGGGGCTGCTCTGGAGCTGCTGGGATCTTGCAGCAGGGACAACTTGGTCGAGGCCAGGGCAGAGCTGTGATCTGCAGTCTGCATGCTCTGGGCAGGGGTGCGCAGGCAGCGGATCGCAGCTCTGCCCTGGCTTCTTGCAGTGGTAACAATGTGGTCTCGAGCTGGGGCACAGCCACAATCCACTGCCTGCATACCCCTGCCTGGAGCGTGCAGACTGCTGATCATGGCTCTACCCTTACCCTGATCAAGCTGCCCCCACCACGAGATCCCAGCAGCTCCAGAGCAGCCCCCTACACTGTCCTGCTAGCGCAGCTGGGGCTGGTCCCTATGGCAATCCCAGTCTTGCTATCGCAGTGCAGCTGCAGCTAAGATCTCCATGGAGACCAGCCCCAGCCATGCAGGCAGGGGCTCCTGTGAAATGAAATCCGGCTGCCGGCTGGATCCGCTATTATGCCCCCCCGGGTTTAGAGACTGAAGAGTGCGCATTAAATCAAAACTCAATGTAAGCAATGCACATTTAGTACACAGCACTTTCAGTCCAGTGGTATCCATCAGTTTCCAGGCTTTTAACAGCAGCCTTTGATAATACCTTCCCCTTCATCATTTCTGGCATTACTTATTATGCAGCTAAAGGAAGCAGTTACATTAAGGAGACAGTAGAGCTGAAAGATTCTGTGCGCTTCAGCAGTTTATGCATTTAAGCATCAGTTCTCTCCACATTGGTTGTTACAATGTAAGCAATACATAAAAACTGGCACTGGGATTGTATTATGCCAGTGCTGCTAAACCATTTTGGCTGGCAGGCCAGATGGGCAACATCCAGTCCACCAGCAGGCCGAAGCTGGCTGGTGGTTCCGATCTGGCACAGGGAAATTGCAGTAAATCCCCATGTGGCTTTGCAGAAGGGGAAGGGTAGGGAGAGGGTGTGGCCCAGCCCCACAGGGAAGAGAGGCATGGCCTAATCTCAACCCAGCCCCATGGTGGGGAGGGGGCATAGTCTGGCCCCAACCTGTTACATGGGGCTTGGAGTTTGGGAATTTGGTGGTGGGGGAGGGTGGCTGTATTTATGGCCACTGCTCCCCTTCTGCCAAATTTCCTGCTCTGTAGGGGACCCTGCAGGCTGGATACAAATGGCTCTGCAGGCTGCATTTGGCCTGTGGGCCAGAGGTTGAGCACCCCTGTACTTGCAATTAAATTCATATTATGCACTTGGTTAATATGCATATAAGTGAAGCACTGGGTAATCAGGATTTAGACATGGCTCTTTTACTGTCCTTTTGTGCACAGGTTCTTAGAAGTTTTGCAGCTGCCACTACACTAATTACCAAGAAATCCTTTTGTTTGGTAATTGCTTTAGTTACTAGTGCTAATTTCCAGAGAGAATGGGAGCATGAAATATGAATAAAAACATCAAGATAAGCCACCTCAGGCACTGAGGGCTCAGCAGGACAAGACTCACATTCTTATCCTTCATTATAGTTGTGGAGTTCTTGCTCCCAGAAGTGAATAGCATATAGTTGTGCAAGCGCTGCCACTAGAGGTACTAGTGGTCTTCACAAAGTTGACTTCAGTACCTGAAAGTTCTGTACATTTCCAGGGACAGCTGGATGGGAATGGAGGGTGGCAGGCATTAAGGCAGCCGAAGGTGCTTGAAGGCCAGCGACAGCCGGCTGAAGTACTGAAAAGAAACAAGAAAGTCAGCTTAGTATGCCACTCTGATACCAATAGGTTACTTTAGCTGCCCAAGTAACATAAAGCATGTAGTGGTCCCATACACTCAAGTCAATTATAGTCACTAGGCAGACCAAGAATAATCCAAGCTGTCAACTCTCCTGTCTAAATGAAACCCAGGTGAGAAATACTCAAAGAGCACAATCATCACAATGTTCACTGCAATGTTGCCCTGAAGTTGAGTTCACAAGAGTGGTGGTACTTTTAACCCAAGTTGCCAGCTTAAGGAGGAGAAAGGTTTGCATTAATGCTTAAGTGCACATAGCTAGCTAGCAGACTATCATTGTGCCATAAGGATGCAGAGAGACTCCACTTGAGTGTTGCTTCCTTGTCTGTCCTTTTTGGGCACAAATCTGTTTCCAGGAGCACAAAGCAACAAAGAATGTGTCCCCAGCATCTCAGTGACAGCACAAATGCACGTGGTACCTGTACATACACGGCACCTGAAGTGCTACTTTGCGGCATGACTACACTTTCTCCAGTCTCAAGTAATAACAGGAAGGATGACCACTTGTATGACTTCATTATGAAGACACACCCCTAGGAGTTCAGTCTTTTATTACAAGAACTGGTCTCTTGAGCCAAAAGATGAGAGAGTAAAACAGGCTCATTAGGAACTGGGAAACCCCCATTCAGGCAGCAAGTACTTAATAAGAGGTTTTTCAGAACTAGTTTCCATTACTCATGCCCAAGCAAAAGAAACAAGTTACCTTGTGGTGTCATTGGAGGCAGTACTGCATGAGCTGGCTGTGAAGACTGTCTCACGGGGGATGAAGCCACTGGCTGCGCTGTTCCTCTTAGTGTATTTGGGTCCTAAAACATTTCCAGATTGTCAGTCAATTTCTGAGCTAGCAACTAAGCCAAGAGTTTGGATGCAAAATCATTCAACACCAGACATCAACATAACGACCCCATTTAAACCCAGAGAATTTAAGCTAGTTAAGAATGCTGGAAGCATCATATAGAACTTAGCTTCAAAGTTCCCATCACATACAACGTGTCCCAAACCTTAACAAAAGCAGACGGAGCTGCAGCTCTCTCACAGGTTATTTTCAAACTATATATTAGGAAGAATGACTGACTACAAATTCACCTCTATTTCTGAGTCACTGGAGTCTAGTTGGGCGCCAGTTGTCCCAGCAAGGAAAGGTAGCATAGGCTGTCCCATTTTAGCCATCCGAGAGATTAGTTTCGCTTTTGCTACATCAGGATTCTAGAAGAGACATTTGCAATTACTTTTACTCAGTACTTTATCTCAGGCTTGTATTGCTCTCCTGACACTAACCCTGACTACTGTGGCTCTATAAGGGCCATAATTCACAGATAGGCTCGCTAACCTAGTGAGGAAGGCTTTAAACTAGGTTTGCCAGGGGAATGGAGACCAAAGCCCTGAGGTAAGTGGGTGACCTGGAGAAAGAGCAAGCAGGAGGGGGCAACAGGAGAGGTGTTCTCATTCTTCCTGAGAAATCAGGGCAATCAACTAGTTGCTTTAGATGGCTGTAAACAAATGCACGGAGCCTGGGAAACAAACAGGAAGAATTAGAAGTCCTTGCACAGTCACAGAACTATGATACGACTGGAATAACAGAGACTTGGTGGGAGCTTGCATGACTGGAGCACTGTCATGGATGGGTATAATTAACTGTTCAAGAAGGACAGCCAGGGGAGAAGAGGAGGAGGAGTTGCACTTCATGTTAAAGGACATACGACTGCTCAGAGTTCCAGTATGAAACTGGAGATAGGGCTGTAAAAAGTCTCTGGGTTAGGGTCAGAGGATAGAGTAACAAGGGTGATGTCATGGTGGGGGTCTGCTATAGACCACCAAACCAGGATGAAGTGGTAGATGAAGCTTTCTTCAAACAGCAAGCAGAAGTTTCCCCAATCACAAGCCCTGGGTCTCATGGGAGACTTCAATCCTCCTGACACATGGGCGACTGCTGCCTCCTGAGTCAGGGGGGACACTTGCCCCCCC